GATCTCAGAGGAAAAGCTTTCAGCTTCTCGCTGTTCAGTATGATGTTGGCTGTGGGTTTATCATATACGGCCTTTATTATGTTGTGGTACTTGCCCTCTATACCCATTTTGTTGAGAGTTTTTAGCATGAATGGATGTTGAATTTTGTCAAATGCTTTTTCAGCATCTATGGAGATGATCATGTGGTTTTTGTCCTTTTTGTTGATATGGTGGATGATGTTGATGGATTTTCGAATGTTGTACCATCCTTGCATCCCTGGTATGAATCCCACTTGGTCATGGTGTATGATCATCTTGATGTATGTTTGAATTCAGTTTGCTGATATTTTGTTGAGTATTTTTGCATCTGTGTTCATCAGGAATATTGGTCTGTAATTTTCTTTTTTGTTGCCGCATGTATTTTGATGTTGTGTTAGGCACACACACACATTGTGGTTTGGGTTGTCATGTCTTCTTGGAGAGTTAGCCCCCATCACTATGGGATGCCCGTTTTTAGCCCTGGTAGTTCTCCTTTTCTGAAGTCGGTTCTGTCCAAAATTCCTGGGGCTGCTCTGCTTGCTTCTAATCGGTGCTGGCACGAAGCATCTTCCCACTCATCTGCTTTTAATCCACATGTGTGGGCCTTGTCGTTTTTCCTTGATAGCCGGGTGACGTGACAGGCCGCAGTCAGTAAGCCTTCGGTACCGTGGGGGAGGTGCCCTTTGGTGCTGTGCATATGCCCTGCCAAGCCTGTGCCCCTGGGCCCTGGGCAGCACAGTGCTCCTTTTTACCCCTGACCCTCTGGTGGGCAGGAGGGGCGCAGGGGGTACTTCCCTCCTGCCGGCAGGTCAGGCTCGGGGTGACCGGTCTCCCCGAGGCAGCCTTGTGCAGCCGATTGCTCCGACCTAGTTCAGAGTGGCTGCCATCCCCCTGCTGCAGCCCCAGCGGGATTTTCCTCCGTATTTACTAAGAACCGGTTGAGCCCCTGGAGGCAAAACTCACAGTAGTGTGTGGCCCCCGCGCTGGGTCTCCCTGTGCCGGTGCCATCAGCTTGATGTTGATGGCGTGGCAGGGCGCTCTGCATCTTCAGGGGCTCATCCACATCCTGCAGCCACCTCGCCCTGCCTCCCGTGGAGCCTGTGTGCGGCCTCCGTGTGGACGTGTGTCCTTGTGCCCCTCATGCTGACACCAGCATTTCTGTTTTCAGGACCCTTCCCTGTTGGATGGCCGGGTGACACTTTTCCACGTCCCGGGGGGCACAGTGGTGGCCAGGCAGGGAGACCAGGTGAGTGAAAGGCCGAGGTCCAAGGGTATGGCCTCACCTGTGCAGCCTGGGCGCTTGTAGCATGCCCGACGCTGTGTCTGCGTCCTGTCCCCGGCGGGCTTTTCCCCTCAGGCTCACATGTCTGTGAGACACTGGGAAAATCACTGAGCCCACCTTCGTCACAGGTGGGTGCACTCCCGCCTGCAGAGATGGGCGTGCACGCACACAGACAGTAGAGTCACCTGAGCTCAGTCCAGTGCCGAGGAAATGATTTGCTTTCTCGGCTCTCAGACCCAGACACGGATGAAGAGTAATTCCTGAACCTGGAGCCTCACTTTGCCGGGTGGGCAGAGACCACTTGGCGGCTCCTGCCCTCCTGGGGGCCCACCTCCTGGGGTGCCACTGTGGGAGTCACGCGCTCGCTGGCCCCCGCACAGGCATGGTGGAAGGCATCTGTTTAGTTCACTTAAAGCAGCTTTGGCGAGAGAAAGTTAATCTCCTGGGGCCAATAATCAGGTGACAAGCCATGGACGCTGCTGAAATGATTCCAGAGAGAGTGCGTGCACAGGGCCAGTTACGTTAGGCAAAGCTGGCAGGGGAGAAGTGTGCAGCTGGCCTGGGTGGCCTGCAGGCGCCTGAGGGGCTGTGCTGACCCTTGGGCCTCATGAGGCCCAGCAGCTCCCGGCTTTCCCAGGACGTGAGCATCCTATTCGTGGTCTCGGGGCTGCTGCACGTGCACCAGCGGAAGGTGGACAGCGAGGAGGAGACTTGCCTGTTTGTCACGCATCCTGGGGAGATGGTGGGCCAGCTGGCTGTGCTCACCGGTGAGCCCCTCATCTTCACCATCAAGGCCAACAGGGACTGCAGCTTCCTGTCCATCTCCAAGGCGCACTTCTATGAGTGAGTCCCCTGCCCAGCCGACCCCATGGGTTTGTTGTGGGGCCATAGCTGTTGGGGGCCCACGCTGGGCACCCCACAGGGATCCTGCCCCGTGCTGTGCTCACTCTTGAGGAGACAAGTCCTGGGGAAGAAGGCAGGCGAGATGGCGGTGTTGGGGGGCATCACACTGCAGGGCAACTTTGTTGCCCCTCTGCCTCTGGAAGCCAAAGTGAACTTGGCTTCTCAGGAAGATAGTTGGTGTTGGCTCCTAGACCCACACGGAAATCTCTAGACCCAGACACACCCTTGGCCTGCTGGGTGGCCCAAGCCTGCCCCCCTGCTGAGCCTGCTGTGTATGTCCGCATACATGTGTGGGTGCGGGTGCACATCCGCTCATGGCATGAGTCCCCTGCCGTGGGCCGCCCCCACCCCTCATCCAGCTCAGCCCTGAGCGACCTCTTCCAGCCTCCTGAGTGCAGGCCTGTGGGTGGGGCTGCTGTCCTAATGCCCCCTCAGCCTGGGTCCAGAGCAGAACCCCTGACTTTCCCCAGCTGGCTCTGTTTTTCTCATCTCTGCCACTGCTGGCTCCAGCTGCCCGTTGCTTGGGCCATGTCTCAAGGTCACCCCAGGAGCACCTGCTTCTGTTCACATACAGCAGCCAAGGAGACAGGCTATTATGTTCCTGCCGGCCAAGCCTGCCAGCGACTTCCATTGCTCCCAAGATTGACCAGCGCCTGTCCCGGCTCAAGGCCCCGTGTGGTCTTCGCCCACTGACTTCTGGGCCTTCCATGCAGCCACCCCTGTTTGCTCTAGTCTTCATGGCACCTCATGGGGGGCCAGGGACTTTGTGTCCCAGTACCAGGATCAGGGCCTTCTGCATGGCCTGTGCTGAGGACATCCGTGGGCAGGTGATAGCTGGGCGGGGGACTCCCAGACTGTCTCAAAGCTGCTGACCATTGGGCACAAGCTGTGATGGAGCAGGTGGCTGCCACGTGCCATGCTCTGTCCCAGCCCTTGGCCAGTGTCCACATCACCTGCTAAGCAGGTGCCATTGTTTGATGAGTGGCATGCAGACCCTGCCCGCTCTCAAGTGCTGTGGCCTAGAGAGAAGGGGCGGGGCTGGCTAGCTCGGAGTAGGATGAGGGAGGGCCAGGACGACGGGGCTGTCTTGGCAGGATCATGCGGAAGCAGCCGTCCGTCGTGCTGGGTGTGGCGCACACTGTGGTGAAGCGGATGTCCTCCTTCGTGCGGCAGGTTGACTTCGCTCTGGACTGGATGGAGGTGGAGGCTGGGAGAGCAATATACAGGTGCAGCCCTGAGCTCAGGCGGGGTGGACTGGCCCCTGGCTCGACTCCCAAGGTAGCCGTGGGACAGCCTCCTGGGGGCCCTCCTGGACTGGTGCTCATGTGCACACGCTCAGGCACACACACACAAATCCACACCACCCTTTAAACTGGCCCAACAGGGCAGTTCTGACAGCATTTAGGACAGTGCTTATGATCCACGCTTCCGTGTGGTAGAAGACGGGTGTCTTTGCTCTGCAGCATCGTACTCACCCAGGTCAGACAGAACTACAGCTGCCAGTTGTCATGGTGTTCAAAACGCAGACTAAGAAAACTTGCAATACTTAATCATTTATTTAAAAATATAATAAACCCTTTACATATGTAGCATACTTATTTTTAATGGGAAATAACTGTTTTCCAAAACAAAAAGATGTAGTGTAATGTCCTCTTTTCTTTGCCACCTCGGGTGACCAAAGGGTTCCCAGCCTTGCCCGCTGGCTTCTAGCACCTCTGTCCCCACAGGCAGGGGGACAAGTCAGACTGTACCTACATCCTCCTCAGTGGACGGCTGCGCTCAGTGATCCAGAAGGATGATGGCAAAAAGCGCCTGGCGGGGGAGTATGGCCGTGGAGACCTCGTCGGTGTGGTAGGGTCGGGTTTCTCCTCCCCATCAAGCCCTTCACTCCACCTGGCTGATACCTGGGTGTGGGGAGAGGGCCCTTGAAGTGCCCTCAGGAGGGGGACTCTTTCCCATCGAGGTGCATGCCTTTCCCCGGGGGCTGGTTTCCCTGCTCCCAGCCAGGGCTGCAGCATCAGGGCAGGAATAGCTGCAGCTTTGCCTCCCAAAGGTCTCAGGAGAGCCGCTGGCCAGGTGGGGTGGGTGCTCAGAACGGCCCCTTTGCGCCACCCCCCCTTCAGGGGAATGTGCCAGTTGAGACTGCTGTGCACTGTGCCTTCCCATCCGGGGTGCAGTGAGGCAAGCCCGTGGGGCTGTAGGGAACGAGCAGTGCAGCCCCAGTACCCGGCCTCTCCTGCTCAGGTGGAGATGCTCACCCACCAGGCCAGGGCCACCACAGTGCACGCTGTTCGGGACTCAGAGCTGGCCAAGCTTCCAGCAGGAGCCCTGACGTCCATCAAGCGCAGGCATCCACAGGTAAGGGCTGCCGTCCAATCTGCCTTAGGGAGCAAAACCCATTTTCCAGCAAAATGGGCTTACTTGGGAACATCAGAGACTGCAATTGGTGGCAAGCAGCTGGGGCCCAACCAGACAAGCCCAGGGAGCAGGGCACAGGGGGCCCCTTTATAGAGAAGGAGGACCTGGGGGCTGATCTAAGTAGAAAGCCCATTGGAGAAAATGGAGTCCCACGTGTCATGTCCTCTCATGACTGAACCCACGACAACCAGACAGCAGGTTGTGTCCTGCCCAAGTGCTGGCGTGAGGGACGTGGGGCGCAGGCAGGTTGCATGGTTTCACAGGATGCACTGGCATGGACCAGCATGTAAGGATACGGCTTCTGGGCAGGCGGTATGAAGCAGTGGTAGGAGGAGGAACTCAGTGAATGAAGCCCACCTGGCACGGCTGTGTTCCCGCCACTTGGCCCTGAGACAAGCCATCGCACAGTGGTACGAAACCAGACAGGAGCTTTAGGAGCAGGGACAGGATGTGGTGCAGGCACAGTTTGGGCTGTGCAGGGCCCTCTTACTGTGTGTCTTGGGAAAGGTGACGTTGCCACTGGAGAGGCTCGGGCCAGCCAGCAGTCCATCCAGACAGCAAAAAGAAGGAGTTTGTCCTGCTGCTGCGACAGCGACTGGCTGCCTTTCTGCTCTTTACCTCCGTGCCTCTAAGTAATAAGGGTGTAGCTGAGGGAATGGGAGCCTCTGACCTCAGAGGTGGCGGTGGGTTGATGAGCTGGCCCCTGGCCCCCCCCCACCCCGCCCCCGGCAGGGAGCCGCTGGTCACACAGCCCTGTGGTGAGGCTGCTCCTGGTCAGCCCCACTCCCACACCCAACCATTGTAGGCTTTCTGTCTGTTCTTGGATTTGATGTAAATGAAATAATACAGAATGTAGGATTTTGTGTGAAGCTTCTGTCGCTCAGTGGGTACCAGTAGGTGGTTTCTGCCCTGTTGCAGAGCAAGCAGCATATCCTGCCGCACCACTGCTCACCCATCCCCGCTGATGAACACTTGGGTCATTTATAGGTTGAGGCTGTTACGAAAAACATTGGCGCATAAATGTCTTGATGGCACATTTTGCATTCCTCTTGGTAGCTACCTGAAAGTAGAACTGCTGGCTCACTGGGTAGACGTATGTGTAGCTTTTTAAGAGTTCTGACGGTTGTGCCCTTTGTGGTCCCAGTACTGTGCATCCTTGCCAACACGTGAAGCTGTTGGACTTACTAACCTGGAAAATAAACCATCAGCCATTTTTCCAGCAAAATGGGTTTACTTGGGAAGATCAGAGACTTGCAATTGGTGACAAGCAGCTGAGGCAAAACCACAGACAAGTCCACAGAACAGGGCACAGGAGGCCCCTTTATAGAGAAGGAGAACCTGGGGGCTGATCTAAGCAGAAAGCCCGTTGGAGGAAACGGAGTCCCACGTGTCATGTCCTCTCATTGGCTGATTTGTGACTGTTTGCCATTGGCTGGGCTGTTGCTGGGGCAGGTGGAAACCTTCCTCCCCTGCTGGAAGCAAAATACCCAAAGCAGCAGCAGGTCCTCCTTCTGATGGGGCCACTTGGAGGGGTGGCGGTGGGGCTCCCTTCATCAACTCGCATAAATGATGGTGTTGGGGAGGGGGGAGCGGGGTGTTTTCTCTGTGCTTTCGTATGTTTGAAATTTTCCATAATAAAATGTTTTTTAAAACTAGCTCCAAATTAGTTATATATAAACCAGACTGCTTTTTAGCTTGTTTTGGATCACTCTGATCAAAGTCGCATCTCCCGTGGGTCTCTGACCCCAGCATCCTGTGGGCAAGAGAGGATCTTCAAGCCAGCCTGCAGGTGGAGGGCTGGCCGGCCGGGCTGGGTGCCGGCGTCCGCAGCTCCAGGGCTCTCAGGAGAGCGGCGCCGTGTGCTCACCCCCAGACCTCTGGGCTGTGGGCAGCCAGGAGGTGCACCACGGGCCGAGGGTGGGGAAGGCGGAGTGCGGGCAGAGAGCTGGCTTTCGTCTCCAGGAGCTATGTCCAAACGACTACATCAGTGTTTCGCCTGCTCTCCTGGGTAATTTAGATTTACTGAAGCTGGCAGCAGTTTCTTTTTTCAAAATGATCCTGTATTACATCTAAAAGCCACAGTAGTGGACTGTGTGTATACAACATGTCCTCTGTTGTCTTGTCTTAGCAATTAAAAAACATTTAGTTCATTTTATTTATATACAAAAGCATTTAAAGGTAAATTACAGATATGACATTCCAACCTTAAATACTTCTGTATATGACTCTAAAAGTTTAGTATTAATTTAGCCATATAATACTTCCTGATGCCGTGTAGTACCCAGCCCATATCCCACCAGGTCGGGGGCCCTGGGAGCGTGGTGAGCCATCACTCCCGGAAGCTCCTCCGGGCCTGCCTGCAGGGTACAAGTGAGAGGAGAGGGCGCGTGTGCAAGGTAGGGCTTGTGCCCTTCACACCTGCCAGTCGACTCCAATCGGGTGACCTCTTGGCCCTGAGTCAGGTCCCTCCTCCAGTGACCAGACAGCCACCACATCACTGCCCACAGCCCAGGGCAGCTTCTGGTCCAGCAGCTTTGACAACGTGGATGCAGTGGACTAGGCTCTCAAAGTGTGTGGTTTGGGGTCTCTCTTCTTCCCCTGCCCCAGGTTGTGACTCGGCTGATCCACCTCCTGGGGGAGAGGATCCTGGGCAGCCTCCAGCAGGGATCTGCAGCAGGTGCGTCCCAGGGCTGCGCCTGGCCTGGCACCCTACCCACCTGCTTGGAGTTGGGGGAGTGGGGAAGAGCCCTGAGGAAAGGCCCAGAGCACCCGCCTTGGGCACCTCTGAGGTGAGGTGAGGAGTGCTTAGGTTTGGGCAGTGCCAGAAGAATTTGCCAAAATCTCTCTGGATGTGGGCAGTGTTGGAAAGAAGCTCCAGTGTAAGTGAAAAGGAGAAATCTGTGCTCTCTCCTGTTGTTTGCCAGCTGGCTGTGCTTGGGCAGCAGGGAAGGACAAGATGTGGATGGCACGGACCTTAACCAGCTCCTAGGGAATTGTCTGTCCTGTGCTGAGCAAGCAAAGCTGATAAAGCAATTCTAGAGCTTTGGGAGTGTTTCTGTCTTTGCATCTTTATTCTTTTCATCTCCTTACTGAGAAAGTGCTTTCCTCAGCACACTCACTGTTAGCTCCAGGCTCACGGGCTTCTGAGTCCTGGGGGACTGCCATGGTGCTGAGCCTCTCCTGGTCAGCAGTGTTTGCTTGCGGCCTCCTTGCTGTTACGTGACCCCTTGCTACTTACTGCTCTGGCCTGCTGTCCTGTCTGCCTGAAGCACCCCTCAGCAGAGCCCTGTGCCCCCACCCCAGCCTGCCACCCCAGCATGGCCTCCCCAGCCCCTGTCCATCCCCAGCATTCTCAACTCCTGATCCCCCCTTCCCCACATTCTCACTTGCTGGGTGTCTCGTAAGCCAGCAGGGTTCTATCTGTGTTCTCACAGCAGTGACCTGGGTGTGGTGTGGAGGTGAGTGCTCGCTAAAGGAATGGTGTGGACAAATGTGCTGTGGGGGCTGCAGAGTGGTGGGAACTCCCCCTATTCCGGCACAACGCATCTCAGATAATTAGTCTGCAGTGGCCCTATTTCCAAGTGAAGTCACGTTCTAAGGTTCTGCGTGGACATGAATTTTGGGGAGACAGTACAACACATGGTATATCTTTTTTCATTTCATCTTTAGCCAACCGGTAGGGTTATGTTTGAAGTGGGTTTCTTCTGGAAAGCATGTAATTGGATTGTGATTTTGTCATCCCTTAGGGTGGTCTGTCTTGGCAGCTGTGTTTAGACCATTTACATTTAATGTAATATGTGTTGGTTTTTTCCATACTCTAATTCCTATCTTCTGAGTCTCTCGAACCTTTTTGAATATTCCATTTTTATATATCAGTTGTGGTTTCCAGCATATGTCTTCATACTGTATTTTCAGTAGTTGCCTTAGGGATTGCAATACCCATGCTTACCCTAGCCTTCTAATGCCAGTATTTTATCACTTTAACTGGAATGTAGAAACCTTATCACTGTTCAGATCACTTTATTCTTCCTCCTTAGGATAAGATCATCTTAAATAATACCTCTATATAATTGAAAAACCCCTCACACATTGTTACAACTTTTGCTTTCAGCCATCAAACATAATGCTTAAAACTCAGGAGGAGAATTGTCCATGATATTTACTGTTTCTGTGGCTCTTCCTTCCTCCTGGTGTCATTTCTCTTCTGTCTGAAGAAGCTCCTTTAATAGTCCTTGTAGAGCAGGTGTGCTGGCTACAAATTCTCTTAATTTTTCTTCATCTGAGACTGTCTCTACTTCACCTTCATCCTGAAGGATATTTTTGCTGCATATAGGATTCTGCTGCGACAATACTTTTCTTTCAGCACTTGAAAACTGCTGTGTCAGTTCTTCTGGCATCCGTCAGCTCTTGTTAGGGGCCCAGACATCTGAGTGATTCCCAGGCTGGCAGGGCATCATTTCTCTGCCTGTGCTAAAGACTTGGTCTCTGTCTTTAGTTTCTAGAAATCTTATTTTGAAGTGTCTGGGAATGAATTTCTTTGTGTTTATCCTGTTTGGGGATTGTTCATTTCTTAATTCTGTAGGCTTATATCTTTAAGCAGATTTGGGAGGTTTTTAGCCTATTTCTTCAAATATTCTTTAAGCCCTGTACAATTTCCCCTCTTCTAGAAAGACAGTGACACAAATCTTAAACCTTTGGTCATTGTCCCAAGCCCTCTGGAGCACTTGATTTTTTAAAGTATTGCCTCTGAATGTTCAGATCAAATAGTTTACTTCGTCTGCCTTCAAGGTCGTCGGCTCTTCCGTCGGCTCTTCTACTCACCAGCCCATCTGGAGAGTGTTTCAGTTCAGCCATTTTAATTCTGCCTTCGTTTCAAGACCGTTCATGATGTTGCTTCTGGCTAGTTACTGTTACTTACTGTCCTTGTCAAGTAATTCCAAATTCTGTGACATGTCATTTTTTTCCTGTCAATGATCTTTTCTCTTTCTAGTTGAGATTTTCCTGGTTCTTGGTAAGCCTGGTAATTTTGGTTAGTATCCTGTATTTTGAATATTGTGAGCGTCCGGCTCCCATTTAAGTCTTCTGGTTTAGCAGACTGCCAGTGTGCTTATATTCGCAGAGTGTGGCCAGGCCCTCTTTCCTGGACTGTGTTTGAACGCTGATACCATCCTTAAGGTCTTCGCCATATGCCTCTGGTCTGCCACGCCACATTTTGTTCTCAGAGGCTCTGCTGTGTGATTCTGGCTGGTCTCATGCATGGGCTGCTTGGGACGAGCCCAGGACCTCATACCAGATCTAGAGAATTCCTTCGCGCATCTCCCCCCTCTCTGTGATCGCCCCTGTCTCTAGTTGTGGTACCAACATACTCACTGGTATAGGGCATTGAGAGCCGGGGGCTCCACTGCACTGTGTCTGAGCCCCACGCAGGTGAGAGTCAGTGTCTGCTTAGCACGGCAAGCCCCCAGAAAGTCTCCCTGGAGGCGGCACCCGTGGGGAGGGAGGGCTGGGCCCTGCCTAGCTGTACCTGGGGGGAGTGGGGGCCTTGTTGCTTCTGTGGCAGCAGTAGAGTGGTCTTCCCACGGGTGGAGGTCCCTAGCCAGGACACCCTCCTTCTTGGGCCCCTCTGAACCTACTGAGAGTTGTGTCCAGGTTCTCCTTGTGACTGGTGGCAGTGGTGAGATGGGATGGCTGCTATATCTCCCTCTTGGCATTTCTTAACACTCTCCCAAGTGCCTTTCTTAAAGGTAAGGAGGCGAACAAAGCTGGCAATAGAATTTCCTGCTGGCTCTGCCTCCAATGCAGGAGTCTGATGTGGACAGTCCCTGGAAAGGTAGAGAGGAAGGGGATTCCCCACGGAAAAGGGCCCAGAAGCCAGGGCATCCAGCGGCCGGCTCACAGCCCTGCCCCCACACACATCAGCACCCACCAGTCCCCTTTCCCCACCACCCTGCATCCCTTCCTCTGGCATCTGGGTCAGGCTGTGCAGGAGCCCACACACCCCTGCTCAGAAAATGTGCTCCTCACCTGGGGCGGGACAAGTCGGGTACAGACTCCCACTCAGAGGAGCTGGGACTTTCTGGTATGGGTGGCGCATGTGCCTGGCTGTGCCCTTCTGGGGCTCAGAGGGCCTGTGTGGGAGGCAGGATGTGCCAGCCGGCTGGGCCAGGCAGGCAGCGTGGGGCAGGCTGGGAGTGGGTGGTCAAGGAGCCAGCAAGAGAGCCCTCTGCACCCAGGCCACTGGGAACCAGATTGGCTGGGATGTGGCTGACAGGAGGAGTGAGGCTGTCCCCTGGCACCTCTGAAAACAGGAGATGCCACTTACCGAGAAGTGACTCTGTTGTCGGAAATAAACTGGCAGGGACTCCCTGACAGAGGCTAATGAGCTTGTGGGCCTGTGTGTCTTCTGCTGTGCCCTACAGTGTAGGCCCCAGGGAGGCACTGAGGGTCCTGGGCTTATGTCTAGAAGGTGGAGAGTCCACAGCCTTGGAGGCTGCGCTACAGTGACTGTCCCTCAGAGGGCGTGCTGCTGCCCCTGGGACCCAGCCCTGACCTTCCCACAGGTGTTCTGTGTCTCCTCCCAGCATCTGGAAATTCCATGCAGACAAGACACAATAGAAACATCTGTTGATACCACATTGTTTACTGTTTTTACAGTGAGTTGGGCAAAAACTCTTGGAGGGGTTCAAAGAATAGGTCCTCACCTGGCAGAATGTTTTCATTTGTTTTTTCTGGGCCTCACGTTCCTTTCTGTATGCCAGGCCTCTTGCCACAGACTCCCCTGGGGACCAAGTCCTGGTGTGCATCAAGAGCAAGGGTGCTCCCAGCACGGTTGGGCACTGCAGCAGGAAAGGCGGACCAGGAGAAGCTCCGGTCACTCAGATGTGAAGCTGACCCTAGTGCAGGGGCCCCTCCTCCCAGACTGCTGGCCTGTGCCCTGGTGTTCTCTAGAGACACAGAGACCCTCACAGTCCACTACATGGCAGCCTGACCCCTCAGTCCAACACATGACCCTGTGCTTTGCAGGTCACCAGTTTGGGCTACATACCGCAGCCAGCAAGTGGGACTCAGGGAACCCCGCCAGCAACCTCTCCACGGTAGCCGCCATGCCTGTGTCGGAGGACGTGCCCCTCACTGCCTTTGCCCTGGAGCTCACGCACGCCCTCAGTGCCATTGGTAAGCCCTGCCCAGGGTGGCCTGGGGTCCGGCCAGACCCCTTCTCCTTCCTGTGGGTCCTCATGGTTCCTCTGAAGTGCAGCTCAGCCCTGGGGGGCACTGGGGACGGGGGCTGTCCGCAGCAAGCAGCCCTTCCATCAGGCGCCACCAGGCAGTCTCCACTGGCAGGCCTGGTCCCCAGGAGCTTGTGTGTGTTGCAAGGCAGGCTGATCCTCAGGTTAGAGCCTCCCAGAGGCCTCGGCCTCAGGGCCCGGCACAGAGATGCACCCGCCTCGCCGGGGGCCCATCTTGGGGCTGCCTTGCAATTGGCAGTGGGGTGGCAGGCTGAGCCAGCTGACTGTGTGGCAGACCTCGGCTGGGGTCAAGAAGCTTGAGCTGTGTTTCCAAATTCTTGACAGCTGTTAAACTTTGTGATTCAAGAACAAGACGTTGAATTCATTTATTAATTCTAACAGCTGGTGAAGGTCTTTAGGATTTTCTGTGTGTGTTCGTGTCGTCTGCAGACAGTGACATGCCTGTTGGGTTGGGTTAGCTCTCCTCAGTCCTTATCTCGCCGCAGCAAAGAACTGAAGGGCAGAAGCACGGTGGTGGGGCAGAGTTAAGGCGTTACTTGTGCCCACTCCCAGGGAGGAGCTGGCCGGTCAGGGCAGACAGAGGCAGGTTTGCTTGAATGAGGCAGAGAGGAAGGCAGAGCAGAGGGAGGAAAGGGACGCTCACCGCACTACTGCTCAGCACGGGGCAGGATCCCCGCCAGCTCCTGAAGCCAGGGTCCGCTCGGATCTGCGTGGCGGGGGAACCGAGTCCCTGCCACCCCAGGATCTGGGGGAGCCGCAGAGCACCGGCTGGAGTGAGCTTACGTACAAAGGCAGGCGATTCCCGGCAGGCCGCCAGGAGCTCGACCCTTCAGCTGCAGGTCCCTCTGGGCCACCCAGGCGACGGGAGCCTGCAGGCCCCAGGTCCGAGCCCCCAGCAGCCCCTCGCTGTTTACCGGGAGGAGGAAAGGGGAGTGTGGGCAGCCTCAGAGAGGAGGCGCATTTAAGGGCTTGGGGTCGGAGGTTTTATAGGGCCTTTCGGGTAAGAGTCAGCGTAAGGCATGATGTTCACATATGTCATAATTCCTTTGAAGCTTTTTCTTAAGAGTAGGGTTGTTTAGGTGACTGTTGGCCTGGATCTCAGCATTCTTTGTCCACATAGGTTCATTCACACTTGCAGCTCTGTCTCCTCTCCTGGTTACAAAGTTCCTTGATTACGGGGCTGGAAGAAGAGGAAGAAGAGCATGAGATTGAGTTAAAGAATAAGCTGGGGCTTTTAGCAGGTCAGAGTTTACAGTGGCGTCACCTAGGCGATGCAGTGATGTGGTCTGAGGGATGCACTGGTCTGCGCCAACATACTTTTCTCTCTCTGGGGAATATCCTGACTTTCCAAGTCACTCCTGGCCTTTGGAGCTTCAGCTAATTAATTAATTAGCTCCGTGAGTCCTTTCTGGCTCTCTGGTTTTACCCAGTTAACTCTTTGAGTCCCATTTACTGGGCTTTACTGACCTTATTCTCCCTCCACTGGCTCATACCTGTTTTTCTGCCTGACAGTTTGGCTTCTTCCCTTCTGATTTCGATGCCTTTTCTTTTCTCTGGCCTGGTTGCTGTGGCCAGGCCCTCCAGGGCTGGCTGAATAGCCACGGGGAAAGCAGTCGCTCTCGTCTTCGTCCTGACCTCGGAGAGCTCCTGGCTGCTCACCACTGGGTGTGGTGTTCACTGTCCAATTTTTATGTGTGGCCTTTAATATGTTAAAGGCGGCTCTTTCTGCCGAGAGCTTGTTGAGTGTTGTTATCATGAAAAGATGCTGAATGTTATCAGCGCTTTTTCTGCCTTAACTGAGATGATCATATGGGCTATTCCCCTTTGTTCTGGTAGTGTGGTCTGTACACTCTGACGGAGAGGCCCACCTGGTCACAGCGTGCTCCTCCGAGTGTACTGCTGGGTTTAGTTAGCTAGGACTTGGCTGAGTTTTGCATCAGTGTTCATAAAGGCTATTTGTCTTCAGTTTTCTCATGGTGTGTTTGTCCAACAGGGTCTCATAGTGGCTTTGGTATCAGTGTAATGCTGGCCCCATGGAATGAGTTAGGAAGTGGCCCTCTTCAGTATTTTGGGGGCGTGTAAATGTCTCTGACAGAATCGCCAGTGCAGCCATCTCATCCAGGGCTTCTCTTCGTTGGGTCGTCACTATCATTGCAGATCCCATATTCTTCCTGGTGACAGGTCTGCTCACGTGCCTTCTTCCTGGATCCGTCGTGGAGGCTGTGTGTCTCTGGGGACGTGTCTCTTTCATCCAGGCCACCCCATTGTCACAGTACTTTTTCATACACCTCTTTATGTCTGTGAGTTAGTGATACCCCATTGTCATTTCTGATTTTAGTAATTTTGAGTCTTCTTTTTTTCTTCATTCATCTAACGAAAGGTTATCAGTTTTGTTGATTCACTCAAAAAAAGAACCAACTTTTGGTTTCGTTGATTTTTCTCTGTTCTTTGTGTTATTTATCTCTGTTCTGATCTTTATGGTGTCTCTTCCTTCTGTTAGCTCTGGGTTTAGCCTGATACTCTTTTAATAGTCACTCAAGGTGTGAAGTGTGGCCGTTGATTTGAGGTGGTCTCTCGCTGGAGACACCTGGAGCTGCAGGCCTCCCTCTGAGCTCTGTCTAGGCCGCATCCCTGGCTGTGGACTCTCATCTCCATTCGCATCTGTCTCAGTGTTTTTGGCTTCCCTGTGGTTTCTTTACCCACTCACTGGTCAGTTGGCTGTTGTTCAACTTCCACATATTTGTGAATTTTCCATTTCTCCTACTGTTACTGATTTTCAATTTCATACCATTGTGATCAGCACAGATACTTTTTAGAATTTCAGTCTCTTAAAGTTTGTGGCCTAACATACAGTCCGTCCTGGGGAATGTTCTGTGCACCTGAGAAGAACCTGTGTTCTGCACAGTGAGTCTTTCCTCTGTGCATTTTGGTGACTGTGCAGTGGCGTCTCGTTGTGGTTTAGTCTGCATTTCACAGTGATGATGGAGCCCATTGCCTTACTGGCCGCTGAACACCCTGTTGTGTAAGTGCCTGTCCAGGCACTTTATTTATTTATTTGTTTGTTTGTTTATTTATTTATTTCATTAAAGTATCATTGATATGCAATCTTATGAAGGTTTCACATGAACGACATTGAGGTTTCATCATCCACCCATGTTATCAAGTCCTCTTCCCCCCACCATCGCAGTCCCTGTCCATGAGCGTTGTGAGATGCTATGGAGTCACTACTTGTCTTCCCCGTGCTGGACCACCTTCCCCATGACCTGCCTATACCCTTCTTCCTCCCTGCCCACCCACATTTCCCTTCAGTTGCCGCTAGTCCCTCCTTGGAGTCTGTGAGTCTGCTGCTGTTTTGTTCCTTCAGTTTTGCTTTGTTGTTATACTCCACAAATGGGTACTCACCCTTTTTATCAGGTTTCCACCTTTTCCTTGTGAATGGGTAGAGTTCTTTCTGTACAGGATACAGTTCATTTTCTGGATGCACATGTAGCAGGTATCTGTCACTCCTGTGACTTGTTCTTTTATTCTTCTAATGATGTCTTTTGACAAACAGAAGTTCTTAATTCCTATGTAGGCCAATTTATCATTGTTCCCCTTTACTGTTGCTACTCTTTGCATTTTACTGAAGAAGTCTCACCTTGCCCCAAATCATGGGGATGTTCTTCTAAACTTCTAAAACTTAATGGTTTCACCTTTCCTTTAAATTAACCATTCACCCTGGATTGATTTTGGTCATGAGGGGGAAGGTCAAGGTTCATTTTATCCACAGGGCCTTCAGCCGACCCAGAGCCCTCATTCAGAAAGACTGAACATTGCCCCTGCTATGCCTTTGTCAGAAGTCGGGAGACCATGTCTGTTTGCTGAGTGAGGATTCAAGGCCGGGAGTCACTTTACTTTAGTGCTCGAAGTTGTCGTTGCGTTTCCTTCATTTCCCAGAGTTTGGGCAAGAGGCTGTTTGGCGGCAGGCCGCAGTGACTGGCCAGGCCGGCTGGATGCCACCTCCCGCCAGGCCCCACAGAGCCGGAGACTGAGTGCCCAGGAGCAGTCCTGTGTCTCCTCGCTGCCCTGCACCCACCACCTGGGTCTCACGCACACCCCTCCCAGGGATGGGAGCTGCAGCCTGTGCCTTGGGAGCCCAGAGCACCACCTTCAGGGGGCTTCGCACTTCCCTGAGGGCCCCCTCGAGTCCCCCGAGGCCAAGCAGGGGGCTCTAGGGCAGGAGATGCACGGTGTTGGGGAGGTGGAGCCCAGCACAGGGTCCCCTGAAGGCCTCAGGGCTGGGCTCCTCCCTGTTCCTGAGCCAGACGTGGCCTGCCTATCCCACTGTATCTTGGGTTCCAAAAGGTGATGCCCAGGAGAGCCCGCTGTCAGGCATGGGGGATGGTCCAGCCCCAAGAGGTCTCCCTCTGTCAGGCTGGTAGCTCCTATCAGCCCGACCCACAGAGCAGGTGTGCGGCCCCCTCACCTCACCCCAGCCAGAGCTGTCTGTGTGCAGGGGCCAGAGCAGACAGCCACACTTCAGCAGGGCATCCCATGGGCCTCTTCGGCCCAGGGTCCTGAGTCCTCGCTGTCCAGTGTGTCTGGAGGTAGCACTTTGACACTGAGTGCTGCCTGTCTGGGCTTCTGTCCTGAGCCCGGTGACCTCTCCCCAGATTCTGACACTGCCCCTCTGGCTGTGCAGACCCTGACAGAGTGTCTGTGTGGACAGTGGCTCTAAGGCACTGTGGATGGAAGATGCGTGCTGATTTCAGAGACACAAATGTGAAAAGATGTGCATCTCAGCTCCAGTGAATGCTATCATGTTAGAGCCCAGCCTCACTCCTCTGGATCTGGGAAATTATCTGCGTATTACAAACTTGTGTTCCTTGCCCCTCAACACATGCACAGCTGCAGTGCTGAAGACATGTGATTTCTTGTGTGGACAAGGAGACCAAACTTCAGACAGGCCCCCACTCCTGTGTAATGTGGAGACTACCTGTTGCGCCCTGGAGCTGGTGCGGCCCTCCCAGCTCTGAGTGCTGAGCACCCGCTCCCACACCTTGCAGACCCACTGCCCAGAGGGTCTCCTTTGGGGGCAGAGGGATGGGTTACCTCAGGCCACAGGCACTTCTTTGAAGTCAGAGACTTCTCATTGCTTTGAGGAAGAGCAGATCTCTAGGGCCGGGAGTGGGCACTCTTGTCTGCTGGCCCTGGGGCTGCTTCTGTGGGCAGGCAGGCCCCCCTTGTCCTTGGAGGTAGGCTGCCAGGACATTTTCCAAAAAATAGGTTGTGTTTTCAGGCCCCACCCTGCTGCTGACAAGTGACAACATAAAACAGCGCCTGGGTTCTGCTGCCCTGGACAGGTATGTGGCCTCCATGTGGGAAGCAGCCTGGTGGACCTTAGCTGCCTCCTCTCAGTGGGTCCAAGCACAGCTTTGAGGTGGCCCCCCATGTCCTGGTGTCTGTACCCCTGCAGTCAGTGTCCCCCCCACGGTGCTCTGACATTGCATGCCTTGTGTCTCTGCCTTCCAGTGTCCATGAGTACCGGCTGTCCAGCTGGCTGGGGCAGCAGGAGGACATGCACCGCATCGTGCTGTACCAGGCAGACAGCACCCTCACGCCCTGGACCCAGCGCTGCATCCGGCAGGCTGACTGCATCCTCATCGTGGGCCTGGGTGAGCAGGAGCCCACGGTGGGCGAGGTGAGTGGGCCCCAGGGCTGGGCGAGGCTGGGCGTGGTCCGACTGTGCAGTGGGCATGATTTTGCAGGAGTGGTCAGGCGGAGGGTGTGGCTTCTGTAGGCATGTGGCTGCGTGATGGGCCCACAGTGGTGGGCATGGCTTCCATGGCCACAGGCTGGTTAGGTCCTGACCATGGGGAGTCACAGACCTGTCTGTGTCTGTCTGTTCCTGTGAAAGAAATATTTCAGGAGCTCGAGAAGGGGCGGATAATGAGAGCTAATGCCCAGGTGTCTGCTTCCCGTGCTTTGGGAGCCACCAGTAGGGGTTTGAGCCTGAAGCAGGGCAGGTGTCCCCACCCCAGGTGGCCTCATGCCAGGTCAGACCTCCGTCCCTGTTTGTTTCACATTTTGCTGTGGGTATGTGGCACTGTTGACAGGGCTTACTTCTGTATAAAAGTGCTCTATTTACATCATTTTGAAACTTCCTTTTTTCCTCAATGCTTAGGTTTTTTAGCTAATTATCCACATTTCATTTGTTTTTGTGCTGTTCAGTTGCCCACCACCTGTCTGTTCTCAGCTAGGAAGTTATTTGACTGTAACCAGCCAGGTGCAAGGGTGCCCTCAGGTCACCCACCTGGAGAGGCAGTGGGGCCCTAGGGGAACGTGCCCCCAGGGTTGCCTGGCGCTGCACATGTCTCCGCATTGTGCGTCCGGCTTTCATGGTCACCTTGCCATGTGTGGGGCCTGGGCTCCCCATCCCAGCTCTAACACTCAGCCCTGCTTGTTTTGAGGGTATGGAGGGGTCTCCTTGTCCCCTCCTTCTGCCCCATTACTCTGTACTCATCCCCAGCTCTGCCTCGGATCCTGGGGCAGCTGAGAACCCCTCATTTCTGAGGTGGGTGCCTGTTGCACAGTGAGTGCTTCTCCCTTGCGGGGGGGCAGCATCTGCGAATCTCTTGTGAGGGAGGCCACAGTGTGTGCCCACGGTGCCTAGTTAGAGAAGCAGAGGGGAGGCAGCCCCCTCTTGGTGCCCCACAGCTCCCTTGTGTCCACCTTGCCTAGCCTGGCGCACCCCAGGTACTCCACAGCTGAGCTGGGTTACAGACACAGGCCCCCTGCCAAGGCCCTGCCCTCGGGCCCTCCCAGCCTGTCAGCCTGCCGATGAGGCCGTGTCCAGCACGGACCTCTGTCCCCGGCCCCATCCCAGCCTTCAGCTCCGTCCCACCCAAGTCGTCAGGTCCGCCTGGGCTGCCTGACCGCGGCTCTGCCCCCCTCAGCTGGAGCGGATGCTGGAGAACTCAGCTGTGCGAGCCCAGAAGCAGCTGGTCCTGCTGCACCGGCAGGAGGGGCCGGCCCCCGCCCGCACCGTGGAGTGGCTCAACATGCGCAGCTGGTGCTCTGGCCACCTGCACCTCCGCTGCCCCCGCCGCGTCTTCTCCAGGAGGAGCATGCCCAGGCTGGTGAGGCTCGGAGCAGGGCTGGCGGGTGTGAGAGCCTCCTGTTCCACCCGGGCCTCAGAGGGTGTCCTTTGGGCGATCTGCGGGCAAGTCCTGGGACCCCTCCGTAGGGCATCCTTAGCCCCGGGGAGCCAGGCGGTGGCGGGCCAGAGGCTGCCCACACACCGCGGCCTCCCTGGCTGTCTGCTTAGTGGCCCGGATCCTAACAGTTACCTCTGTGCCCAGAGCCTGGGGGCTGGCAGGATTTCAGCTGGGCCTTGGGCTTGGGGTCCCTCTGGGGAAAGCTGCCCTAGGGCTCAGTCATCTCCTGCTGGCCCGTGGGGCTGTGGCCCAGCTGCCCACTCTGCCCACTCACCCACATGCCCTCTGAGGTCTCCTCCCAGGCATGCTGAGGTGCTGACAGGGCTGGTATCAGGCAGACCCTGCCGTGTCTGGATGGAGAAACCAGCCCGAGCAGGTCAGGATGCTGACTCGGCCCGCCTGTCCCCGTCTGTCCCCTCTCAGGTGGACATGTACGAGCAGGTCTTCCAGAGGCCCCCCGACCGGCACTCGGACTTCTCCCGCCTGGCCCGGGTGCTGACTGGCAATGCCGTCGCCTTGGTGCTTGGTGGGGGAGGGGCCAGGTGAGTGCCCGTCCCGTCCCCTGCAGCTGTGTGCACGTGTGTGTGGGCATGTGAAGAGGCACCCCTCGGTGGGCCCCACACTCAGCCAGCCTTTCTCAGTGCCTCGGGTGCTGCTGAGTCCTGCCCCTGCAGTCTCCGCTCACATCCCACGGCCCCAGGAAGCAGTAGAAGGAGATTCCTGTGTTGTCTGAGTCTTTGCTGGAAGTTTCTGTCTGCCTGTTGACCATTCGTGTCTCCTCTTCTGAAAACTCTGTTCTTGTCCTTTGCCAGTCCTTCCGCCGGGCTCCGGGTGAGTCTCTTCCCATGTTAATACGCACTTTGTGGAGGAACAGCCCGATCGGCTCCAGACCTAGTGGGGCACCCTTTACTTCTTCAGGCTGGTGGGCTCCTTGCAGGACTTTGCACCCCACTAACTTCTGCCCTGAGCTGTCATTCTAACACCTGCCCCTGTTCTCCTGAACTAAAGAGAAATATGCACTTGGAGCAGAAACAGAGCCCAGGGGCGTCATGGGAAGGGTGTGCCAAGGCCTTCTGGGGACCCAGGTGGTACGTGGGCAGGCAGAGCAGCGCCTCCTACCACATCTGTGCCAGACCCCACCCCTCAGAGGGAGGGAGAAAGGGTGAGTGGTGCCTGGGCTGGGTGCCTGGTGAGGTGGATCCTCCCATGCCCCCACTGTGGGGAGACATCACTGCTGGCTTGGTGAGGTGCTCAGGGGGTCTCCACACCAGCTGGCATGTGCCGCCCCCTAGCACCATGGCAGGACCTCCCGGGTGCCCCAGGTTCTATGCGCTGCCCCACTGATGCCTCGGAGAAGGAGCTTGGCCAGGCGCCTCCAGTGGCCTAAGGGCGTCCCTTCCAAAGCAAGCTGCAGGGGTGGGCCCTGGAAGGGCAGAAGCCCCTTGGCGTCGCTGTGGTGGAGACTTTCAAAGATGTCTCCTGCCTCCAGTCAGGCTGTTGCTCATGCCTGGCCCACTCTTCTCCTTGTCGAATTACAGTGGGAGTGCTGGGCTGCAGGGCCTTGGGCCTGCTGCCCCGGGAGGGAGCCGAGTCCTGCCCTGGCCTGAGGGATGGAGTGTTGGGCACTGTGCTCACTTATCTCAGGTGGTCCTGGAGCTTCATCAGGTGCCAGGCTTCTGCTTGAAGGCTGAGCCAGTGGGCCCAGGAAATCAGATGATCCGCTCAAGGTGGCTGGCGGGGCAGGCATGGCGGGGTGGGGCACCCAGGCTGCCTCCTGCAGGGCTGGCACAGTGGGGGACCTGGGGCAGCTGGCACAGACTTGCAGATCACAGTGGCCTGATCAGCACTTTTAATGAAAATCAGTTGAAATCAAAATAACATTTTAACAGAAATATGGCCATTCGCGAAGGCCGGTCAGCATTTGTGTAACTAGCAGTCCTCTGTCCTTCCTGCCCGGCCGTGAAATCCAGAGAGAGCCCGAGGTGGGCACTTTCGCCTTCTCTCAGCTGTTTGCTCATGTACTTTCTGAACAGCACCCCTGTTCTTTTTCTTTCTCAGTTTCAGATCACCGGGTCCCTAACCCACTCCCCCACACAAAGTCCTTCCGTCTGTCTATCCATCTGTCCATGGGCCCTCCCTCCCTCGCCAGGCCAGGACTCACTGCCACGCCTCCGTGACGGTGGGGTCCGTTTCAGAGCTAAGGCATGCGGCGGGGCATGACTGCATTTTCTTCCCTGGAGCTAATCACTGTGCCGCTGTTTTGCTCAGTTTTCTGGGTATCATTACTCTGTCCGCAGACACTGTGGAAGCACTGGCCTCCACCCAGCCTGCTCAGACATGCGGGGACGTCCGCTTCAGAGTGGGCAGCCACTGGCCCCCAGCCTCCTGCCTCCCTTGGCTCCGCCGCTCGCTTTCCATCGCGTTGCTGTGATCCTGGCCTGGTTTCCCTTCCGCTGTCCTGGGAACTGCCTTTGCCTCTCGGCTGGGTCCATGTCTTCCTCTTTCTTGATCTATTCCTGATTTTGGTAGAGCTCATGCCCTAGAAATTTCCTTCTGAGAAGGTGCAAAGGTGGGGAAAGTAGACCATGCGTAGCAGAAAATGTCATCCTACCGCCACACGGTTTGGGTACAGAAGTGTAGATGCGTCCCCTCTCCCTCAGGGTCTGTGAGGTGTGGCTCTGCTGTCTGTAGCCTCCAGTGTTGCTCTTGAGAGTCTGGTGCTGTTGTTCCTGAGGCTTGTGCCCCCCGGAAGCTGGGAGAGCCCCTGGATTCTTGCGGCGCTGCTGTCCTCCACAGCCACTCCGGGCGGGCTCCCAGTGGGCCATCTCCCACTTGGAAATCCACACATTCCCACTCAGGGCGACCTTTCGGGACGTCTGCCCCTCTCTGTTCTCTCCCGGAGCTTCTCGTGGCCAGAAATCAGGCATCTTGCATGGACCCTCGGCGTCTCCCATCTTCCTTCCCGTGTTTTCCATCTGTCTTTTTGTTCTGCTTTCTGGCTGATTTTTCTCGAATGTATCTTCTGAATGGTCTCTTCTGCTAAAATATTTCTAATGTTGGGGCGCTCTGTCATAGCCTTCTCTCTGCCCCCCTGATGTAGCGGCGAGTTCTCTGGGGCTCTGAGTGCCTGTGTCTTGCCCGCGTCCCAGGCTTCATCGTGCAGCAGTGCCTGATGGCGCTCAGGCCCCAGAGCGCGTGCTGCTGAGCACTGTCCCCAGGCTTTGCTCATCCCTCCTCCTGTCAGGGGACTTCTGGGTTATTTTCTGGTTTGGGTTACTATGAACAAAGCTGCTAGAACTGTGCTTGTACAAATCTTTTTTGAGGACATATATTCTTTCCTCTTGGGTAAATGCCTAGGAGTGGAATTCCCAGTCATGAGGTAGTTGTACAATTTTACACCCCCATCAGCATTTGAGAATTCGGGCAGCCCGCATTTTTGTTGACACTTGTTCCTGCACCATTCCGGATCGCAGCCGTTCCAGTGGGTGTGGAGTGGTGTGTCGTTGTGACTGAAACTCACACACTGTGAGGACTACCCCCGTCATGTGCTCTGGCCATTTGCTTATCTTATTTTGAAAAGTACCATTTATGTTCTTTACTCATGCTTATGGATGGTTTGTCTTTTATTATTATTGAGTTAGAAGAGTTATTTATGTAGCCTAAATACATGTCTTTTGCAAGATAGATTGTTAATATTGTCACTCGATCTTTGACTTTTCATTTTCTTAATGGCACCCTTTCATGAACAGTTTTTAATTTGGATAAAGTGGGACTTACCAGTTTTTGCAGTTACTACTACTTCTGGTGTTCTGAGAGCTCTTGCATATCCCAAGGTCACAAAGGTGTTCCTTGTTCTCTTCTACAAGCACTGTGATTCTAGCCTGTACATTTGGGTCTAAGATCCACCTGACTGGGTTTCTGGCAAGCAGTGTGGGGTGACACTGAGGTGTTTTTTCCCACATGGTTATCCAGTTGCCCCAGCACCTTTTGCTGAAAACACCCCTTCCCTGTGGAGTGTGGTATGTGTCAGACACCAGATGACTCTGTGTAGCAGGAGTCTGCACCTGGGCTCCGGTGCGTCCCCGAGGTGTGTGTTCTGTCCTTTACCACACCACCTCTTCCTGGATTTCAGTAACTTGATGGTAATCTTGACATCAGGCAGTGTAAGTCCTTCAGTTGGGTGTGAGTATGGGTGTTTTTTTGTTTTAATTGTTTTGGCTATTCTGGGTCCTTTGCATATCCATGTAAATTTTAGAGCCAACTCAGTGTTTAATGGGATTTTTTTGCTACTATAAATGATATCTTAAATCGCACTTTAAAATTGTGCCAGTATATAGCAGTACAACTGGTATCTGTGAATCAATGTCCTATCTTACAGCCTTGCTGGACTCATTCACTCTTGTAGCTTCTTTGTAGTTTTTAAAAAATTTCCTATATACACAGTTATGTCTTCTTAGACAGAATTTATTCTTTCCGAAATATGTGTGTGCTGCTTGTTTCTTTTTCTTGCCTTATTGCATTGGCTGGAACTTCCATGTTGAGCTGAAGTGGTGAGGGGCTCTCAGCACTCCCTGTGTTGGAGGGTGTTTGGTTCAGTTTCACTGTGAAGTGTGACCTTGGCTGTGGGCTTCATAGATGCTCTTCATCAGGTTGAGGAAGTACCCTTCTATTCTTAGTTGGATAAGTTTTTCCATGAATGGTTGTTTTTGTGGATCTGTTGAGATCATGTAAGTTTTCTTCTTTATTCTGCTAACATGGAGAATTACATTTATTGATTTTTAAATGAAAGCATTGCATTCTTGGGATAGACTCATTTGTTTGTGATGTGTCACCCTATTTCTCTATCGCTGGATCCCCTTTGACTGCTTGAGATTGGGCTGCACTTGTCCTGTCTTGAAATTCATGTAGGTTTGTTTGCCAGCTTCAAAACTGAGTCAGGAGTCCTCCTTTTCCTATTGTCTAGATGGTTCTATGTAATATTTGTGTTGTTCTCCCTTATGTGTTTAGTAGAATTCACTAGTTAAACCATCTGGACATGAAATTTTCTTTGTAAGGATTTAGGAATTAAAGACCTAGTTATCTTGA